GCTCAAGCAATCCTCCCACTTCAGCCTCCCAAAGTGCTGAAATTAGAAGCGTGAGCCACTGGACCCAGCTCTCTCTCCCTTTCTTTCTACACCACCATTTCCTCTGTTAAAAGACGGCTGTCCAACAGCAACTCTCACGGTTACAGCACTGAGCTATAGCGGCTCACAGACACCAATTCTGCACATCAATTCCAAATTCCATGGAAGAGATTCTGAAGGAACCTGCCTGGATCAGATGATACTAACATGTCTGCCAGAAGTCCAAGCCTGAGCTGAAGGCAGAGTCCTTAAAAAAAAAAAAAAAAAAAAATCATTGTGAAGGTCATCACCCTAAATGTTTCAGCTCCAAAAAAGATCAGAAACTGGAACAAATCAGCAACCAAAACAAACCAGTGGTAAGCCTCAGCATGTGAGCGTGTAGCATTAGAGCCACCTATGCATCATCTGCCTCAAGTAAAGGTGAGCTCTTAGGACTGAGCCTGAAAGATGGAAATCAAGTAACACCCTCCATGAAGATGGAAGGATGCAGAGTTTTAAAAATCTAACTGGCAGGCCCATGGCTAACACTTTGGGGAGGGGGGGGGGAGCGGTCCAGAGCAAGAATGCAAACAAAGACCCACATACCCGATATCTAAATATTTAAAGTTCTGGGCTGGGCGCCGTGGCTCACGCCTGTAATCTCAACACTTCAGGAGGGTGAGGCAGGTGGATCACCTGACGTCAGGAGTTCGAGACCAGCCTGGCCAACATAGTGAAACCCCATCTCTACTAAAAATACAAAAATTAGCCAGGTGTGGTGGTGGGTGCCTGTAGTCTCAGGCTTTTGGGAGGCTGAGGCAGGAGAATCACTTGAACCTGGGAGGCGGAGGTTGTAATAAGCCAAGATAATATCACCAACTCCAGCCTGGGCAACAGAGTGAGAATCAGTCTCAAAAAAATAAATTAAAATTTAAAATTAAGTTTTAAATCTAGCTTACTAACATGTTAACTAAAATGTTTTATCCTCTGACCTTGACAAGCACAGCTTCATAACAACCTGGAAGGCCAGATTCCAATTTAGAATTCTCAGACTCCTCGGAGCTCCACATTGGAATGTAGTGGCACGAAAAGGCTGGACCAAGAGCCATTGTCCATGGCCCTCTCAAATAGCCACCCTATCAGCCCTGGTGAGGAGAGGCACAGACCCTGGAAATGGACTAACTGGGGGAGAATTTCAGAGTTGCTGGGACCCAGAGCATGATTTAGAGCAAGGTTTTTCAATCTCTGGGCTTACTCTCTGCCCTGAGTAAGTCTTTCCTATTGAGGGGAAAAATACTTTTCCTGTGCATTATAGAATACTTAGCAACATCCCTGGCCTCTGCCTACTAGATGCTATAGCACCATCCAAAATTATAAAAACCAAAGCCAGGCACAGTGGCTCATGCCTGTGATTCCAGCACTTTGGGAGGCTAAGGCAGGCTGATCACTTGAGGCCAGGAGCTCAAGACTAGGCTGGCCAACATAGCAAAACCTCACCTTTTCAAAAAATACAAACAAAAAAAAAAAAAAACAATAGCCAGTCATGGTGGTGCACACCTGTAGTCCCAGGTACTCGGGAGGCTGAGCCAGGAGAATTGTTTGAACCTAGGGGGCAGAGGTTGCAGTGAGCCAAGCTCCCACCACTGCATTCCAGCCTGGGTGACAGAGTGAGACTCTGTCTCAAAAAAAAAAAAATTATAAAAACCAAAACAGTCTCGTGACATTGCCAGATGCCTCCTAGATGGTGGAAGGATTGCTGCAAACTTAGAATCACTGACCTAGAAAAGAAAAGCTTCTGCTGAGAGAAGAGGCAGAGCTGGGGGAGGGCTGAAGTTGAGGGGAAGTGGGGACAGGGGGCTCTCTAAAGCATAGGGACCAGAACAGTAATAACTGGGCACCAGGCTGTATGTTAGCAATCTTCCCAGAATTATTTTCTATCATCCTCCTAGCAATTCAGCAAGGGACATCCTATTAACCCATCTTATGGATGAGGGAACTGAAGTTTACAGAAGTTAAGCAACTTGCTGAATTTTGCACTTCTAGAAACTGGAGCCAGTCATCAAACTTAGGTCTATCCGTGCCAGTTCAGCCTGCACTTTACTTATCATAAGCCCAACTAGAATCTCAGATCTTGAAGTGACCTTCGTAGTAAAATAATGCAACTTAATTCTCTGTCAGACATGAAGCAGATTCATCAATGCTCAAGAAATAGTGTGTGATGATTAAGAACATAACAGAAAGTGTTTTCCTCTGTTTAGAAAAATATCCAAGAGATGAAAAAAGGTTATTATTGACTTTAATAGCAACACTAACATTTTTTAAATTATATCTGCATGGAAAAGATCTCCTCCAGCCTCTAATTTATTAGTTAATATAACTTTAGCTAAAACGAGAATCTGCGTTTTTAAACCAGTAAAGGTTGTGTATGTGCCATTAGGCAAAGACTAAAGGAAGACACATATAAATTAACGTGCGTGTCGATGTTAGTAGGGCCATAAAATCACATAGCTACAGTATTTTAAGGACAGGGAGTATATTTCCCTTATTTCGGATGTAGTATAGTATGTGGTACATAAAAAGCCCTTACAAACTTTTGTTGAATGAATGAATGGCTTTGGATTTCTCTAAATAATTTTAGTTCAGGAAACACACACTCCTCCACCCATGGAAAGATTTTGGATACTTGCCTCAACTTTTTATTTAACTTTAGCTTTATAAACATAATCTCTGAGAGAGGCTTGGAATGTGTCACATTTAAAAGTTTTAAAACAAATTTCATGCGTGGTGCACTGCAGTTCCCATGAAGCAAGGTATCCAGCAAAAGTAAATAAGCATGTGGCATCAGAAAGCTGAAATGCATTAATAAGTACATTTGCATGCACTGGGCCAAGGGTAATAGTACACAAGGGCAAAGGTTAAACAGTTGGAGGCCCTGGTTTAATAGCAGACCTGAACTGTTATTTAAATGTCACAAATGTCAGTGTTTGTCTTCAAATGGCATTACAGTAGGATTAGTGTCCTAAGCCTTGCTCCAATTTATGGAGAATCAGGGAGAATGATTCTCGTCAACTTGGTCCAAAGCAGGAGAAGATTGATTTTCCTTTACCACTCAGTCTGCTTTTATGAGTTTTCCAGACTCTACCTTCCCAGTCTGCATCATGAATGGAAACTGCCAGACCTGCATGCAGGCCATGTGTGAGCAGTGAATCTGAAAGAGTTATGGCTCATTGAGAAACCAACGAAAAAAATGCTGCCACTCTCAGCCACCTTCTCCCGGCCAGGGCTCCCTGCAATTGTCAGAACCAGCAGTGGCTTAAGCCATGGAACAGGTGTAGGACCAGTCAACCCAATTCTTCCACCTACTTGCCAATGGCAGAGGACAGCAGAATCAGAGAGGGGAAACACATCTCATGCCTCCATCAACGTCATT